ACAGCTTCGGCCTCAGATCTCATCTCATCCCCCCTCTGGCAGGTTAAAGCCATTCCCCTTGCCCTGTCCCTCCAGGCCCTTGTCCAAAGCCCCTCTCCAGGTTTCCTGGAGCCCCTTTAGGCACTGGAGCTGCTCTAAGGTGTCCCCTTCAGGAGCCTTCTCTCCTCCAGCTGACCCAGCCCAGCTCACAGCCTGTTGGATGTGGTTTGGCTGCCAGAGCCACCGTGTGACTCAGTGGCACTTGATGCAGTTTCCACACAGGTAGCCCAGCCTCCTAACAAATCACCAGATGAGAGCTGCCCACAGGACAGCACAGATCACCCCAATAGCTCAGACCAAGTCCAAGCACCCCAAGACCATGCTCAGACCTGCTGTGACCCCACCTGCAGCCTGCAAATCCCTCCTGCAGCTCCCGCCTGCAACAAGCTGCCCACAAGGGTTGGAAAGGCCCATTCCTACTCTTCACTGCTAGTGAGGAGTTCCAAGAGCAGCTACCCCAGACTGAAGAGGTGCCCTCTCACAGCTCACACAGACTGAGGGTGCAGGAGCAGCGGTACTTGGCCCACAGCCACCAGAGCCCAGACCTCAGCCCTGTGCCAAGCCCAGAGCCAGGGGAATTCAGCAAGCTCTATTCTTCACTCCACTGAGCAAAGAGATGCTGCAGGCAATCAGCAGTAGCTCTTGTGCTCTTGTTTTCAGACCTGCTCCTTCCAGCTCACAATCTCCTCACCCCACAGAGAGAGAAGCATCTTTACCTTTATGATCCTCCACATATAGGGACCTCTCCAGCAGGCTGGACCAAGCACCCAGATCCTGTGCACCAGTGCAGACACCATTCGCTAGCAGAACTGGCAAACAGCTGGCTGCTTGTAGAGCCCCAACTCTAGTGCTATTGGTTAGTGGTGGCCTTGGCAGTCCTGGAGTAAAGGTTGGACTTAACGATCTTAAAGGTCTTTTCCAACCTGGTGGATTTCTATGATTCTCTGATAACTCCCAACTGAACCCCTGCACTTCTTGCCCTTACTGCAAGCACAGAAGCTGTTTGAGAGGTCACTCATGAAGGGGCTATGATGGGTGGCAGCACCCTCAACCCTGTGTCTGGCTGGGGACACCCTCAGCAGCCTGGAGCAGGCATTTCAAGAAGCCACTGGTGTGGAAGGCAGAAATCAGTGCTTTTGTTCAGTGCCAGAGCTATTTATCACAGAATGGTTTGGCTTGGAAAGGACTTTAAGTTCCAACTCCCTGCCACAGAACAGGACATTTAATGTGCTAAGTGCAAATGCAAGTTGACTTTGCAACAGACAGTGGTTGGCAGCAGGCAGAGGTGAGATGGTTTCCTCTGATGGACACCCCAACATGCCCTGGAGGAGCAGCCCTTTGTGAAAGCTCCTCTGCAAGCTGCTCCTGAACCAGCAGCTTTGCCAAACCAAGCCACAACCTGTGCATGGGGAGAACAGGTCAGTATCTCTTGAGGGGTCTCTACAGGCCCATGGACCAGGCTGGAATGCTCCTGAGCCACTTGCCGGAATGGGCTGCGCAAGCCACTGTAGCCACACTGAGCCATTACCTCCCCATTCCCAGAAACCTGAACAAAGGCCACAGTGTGCTTGGCTGCAAAAAAGCTTTTCCTGAAGTTTATGTGCAGCTAAAAATACCTTGGGAAAGTCATTAGGCAGCAGAGGCAGCTGCATTAGCAGAGTGCTGCTGCGGGGCCGTACCTGCTGCAGCCTTTACTCCGATAGGAGCCGAGCCAGCAGCGACCAGTGGCCCCCACACAGCCTCTGGAAACATCCTCCCTAAACATTCCTGGAGGGAAAGGAGCTGCTGCCCCAGTCTGGAAAACAAACAAGCCCAGGCAGCAGGAGCAGCAGCAGCAGCCGGTGTGAAGAGCAGTCCTAGAGTGACCTTGGAGATGTCCCTGAATCCAGTGCAGGAATCCAGTCTGAAAGCAAACAGACTCTCCCTTTCACGACTCAGCTGCTCCCCTCCACACTGGGATGAGGGGTGGTTCACTTGTACTAGAGGACATGGAGGAGACCTGACCGTGTGGAGAAGAAACACCCTGATCCAGAGGGGTGACCCCAAGTCCTCTGCTGGGTCCCCAGGAAGGAGGTGACCTGGTGATGCCAGGCCCAGGGGGGACTCTGCTCCACAACCAGAGCCTGCAAAACATCACCAGCGATGGGGAGCACACCCCAGCCCAGCATGAAACAACAGACCCCAGTGCTGCAGCGCCATCCTGCAGCACTCGGGGCATCTGGTC